TGGACGACACAACATTCGATCACGACGTTATAAAGTAGAAGCGCAAATACACGGTGGTCATGTGATCTAATGATAGATAAATAAATAAATAAATAAATAAATAAATAAATAAATAAATAAATAAATAAATAAATAAATAAATAAATAAATAAATAAATAAATAAATAAATAAATAAATAAATAAATAAATAAATAAATAAATAAATAAATAAATAAATAAATAAATAAATAAATAAATAAATAAATTTGTCTACGTAATTCCAAAAGTTCAAAAATGGTTGCGCGAAGTGATACATAATCAATTGACTCGAAAGAAAATAATAATTTGTTTTTGTGCATGAAAAAATTTTAAATTTCTATTAAACCCGTGTAAGTGCTCATATTACAGAACGATACACTGTCACGGTATTCATTCACATGTTCGTTTGAGAAAACATTATAAAATATTTGCTTATACAAGCGTTATTGTGATTACTACTAAATTGGAGTTTACATCCAATGAATCACGTATAAGCACGACTCTGCTAAGTTAAAGCTGCCATCGTCAGCTTAACATGCACTTATTTTGCATGTTTACAGAGTAGAATCATCAGCATAAAAATATTAGAGTGACTGCGCAGTTTGGAAATTCGTTTACGTACGGAGGCTCCAACGATGACCCTGGGGACTGTGACCCCTAGAAGGAACTCCGCACCAATCAGAGACTCTCTGATTACTCTCTGGTTTCGTTTATGCAAATAGAATTTAAACAATAGTGATAAATTACCAATAATTCTAAATATGAATAAAATACCGCCCTACAAGGACGGTACTCGAAGTTTTCAGTTACTTCAATGAGTTTTACGAAAATTGACAATGTTATTCCCAATAGTCGGTGAGGGCGCACTTCACTTCCCCCAGAAGCACTTTGGACATGTAGTTAACCATAATCCCTCTACACTATGATTATAGTTTAACGTAACCCTTATATGACCAAAAATGGAGAAAAATTATTTTACAGTACATATCAAATGTTTTACACTTTAACCACAGTCATTTTGCTTTAACGGAGTTCAAATCCATTTGTACTGTCTACCAAATCTAACCAAATCGCATGTACGAGCATGTAAAACGCACACTGACGTGTATCAGTGTATCCAGAGACGCCATTA